TGTCTCAGCTCGGCTCGGCTCGTTTGCAGCCCTAGTGCCTATATCTTAGGATGCTTGTTTTTAAACAAAACAAAAGCTATGGAACTCATCCATTCATAAGTATATTTGTGATATTAAACTTAAAAATCATATCTATCAAACTGAAGCAACAGTTACAAAAGAGCACTGGTTGGAGTATCTCTTCTTCCCTTTTTTTCCATAACCCAAAACATTCTCCAGTTTTTCTAGCCTAAAAAAGAATATGGCCAACCTTGCCTTTAGCTGCTCAATAGCACCACTAGAGTAGTTTATGCTTAGGATCTCCCTTCTATTCACCAGTTCAAACAATCACGAAGAATAATATTTTGTTTTGCCTGTTATCTGTATTTTTTCTCCTTTTGTCATTTCTAATCATCGGCTTCACTAATACTACTATTTTTTTCCTTCACATAGTGGGAGAATAATCCACCGCTTCATTCCCATTGAAAAGATTTTGAAACCTGTCCTGAATGAATGTGTGACCCCAGTCACTTGTTATTGGAACTTGTCTCTGATTGTACGTGAGGAAGAAGAACTTGTGTTAGTTTTCAAGGTAAAATGATGTTTTCTCATTTGTACTTTCTATGCTTTTCGGAAAAACCTAATGATGATTATAACTTAAAAAGTCACAAAGAACAAGTGAGCCTTGAAGTGCATATTATAGTGCATAGAGGATTTTCACACCCCACATGTGGGACCCATCCTATGTCCCATTCTGTGAAGAACAGCTGATTGCTAAAGCAGTTGAATAGGGTGATTTATTGTTTAATAAATAAGGAACTATTTTTTGCAAAGATGTTGCCCCTTGTTATTTCCATTCAGCCCCCACTCTCCCTCTTTGTACTGACTCAAATAGGGCTTGAATTCTTGTCCAGGAACTTCACCCACCAGTGAAAATGTTAATTCCAATCTGGAAGGCGTTATGTGCTGCCACTGACAACCCGGTCACTCAAGTTCCAAGTAGATAAAATAATCAATGGTGTTGAACTGTTTCGAATAAAGAGCTATGATGCACCACAATCTACCTTCTCGGACAGTTGTTGGTCAATGGTACCTGATATAATATAACATCATTATGAGATTGGCGACTGTGCTAAATTTTGTTCCCTCAACTGAGTGTTTTGTACATGATTGAATTGATATACATTTCATATTCTGTAAACGGAAGATGGGAAATTTTAAGAAATTGATTTTACCAATCTATTCATTAGAAGAATCAATATAGTGTCTGCTTTAATCCTTTTACTGGTCACTGCACTTCAAAATATGTAAATCATAGGGAATACCTGCATGGACATCATTAGCATGCAGTAGATTAAGCCCACCTGGTTGTTGGATGATTGAATTGCTGCTTCTTTGAGAAAGATGGTTGTCAAATTTTTTCATTCAATTATATCTTCTGTCCAGCTGCCGTGCTGTGTTGATTTAACGTCTATTGTGTTCTGGATGATATACATTGGAAATTTTTATTTTTATTTTTTTTGTTGTCCAACTTCATTCACAGTAATGGGGTTATCTGGAGGTATTTACTTCAAATTTTGACATAGTCCATGTATGATTTTAGCACTCATAATTTTAGTATATTTGCTCGACAAAGAAAAAAAAAAAAAAAAAGGGACAAGAGAAGAAGCAACTATATCTAGCTGTTTTGATCACACATCTGCCAAGTAGCTTTGCCTTAAATGATTTTAAAAAAGAGGTGAAAAAATAAGGTGTGATTTTATTGTGTGCAAATACCTGTCGTTACAAACTACAAGCGACTCTGTTACACTGGTACAACATATTATTGGTACTTCAGCGGTCAGAATGAGAACTATACATAACAAATTGAAAGAATGGGTTCACAGTGGCAAGGAAAAAAGGCGTGTTGGTGGAGAACCACAGCCACCACTGAATCTGGAAAACCAACTGGTTACTCATCAAGACAGACCTCTGGCAGAGCTCAAACGCTGTGCTGCACGTTCTAAACTGGGTTCATGCTGATGTAACCCATGCCACAATTCATTAGAACCACCATTCCACAATCCAAGCTTAGCTATCTGCTTATGCAATGCCTCCAAGTTGACAAGAGGGACAGTTGTTGGTCGCCCGTGAGCACACTGCAAAACAAACTCTCCAGAATTATCAACAATGCAGCTAAGCAATCTCTCTCTCTCAGCTAAGCAAAACAAACTCTCAATTTTTTGTATTGATTGACAAATAGACTAGGGTACTGTCAACTCACTTGGAAACACAATGATGTTTGCTTCAGCTCTTCCACAATTAGGGAACACTCTGAAGGTAGCAATGTGTCCCCAAACATTATTGCACCTAAATAGTAAAACCAATAAGCAAAATTAAGAACATAATCCCCAAGAAAGAAGCTTTCACCCTTTTAAGAGCAGGAAATACAACTCCGGTGCAGCTAAAAAGTTGCTAACATGCTGGAAATTTGAGATGTATCAGGAAGCAAGAAAGAAAAACCACGGCAAATGGCAAATGACACTAGTCCATATGAGAATATTTTGTGGACAAGCATCACCTCGCATAAAGCATTAAATAACTTAATTTGTGGATGATTGGTAACTAATGCAACTTTTACACAGACTAGCATTTTTCCTAAAGATTGAGGTTATTATACCTCTACATGCTTTGGAGTTAAGGACCCGATGAACGGATGGCGGTATAGTTGATGATCCATCTGTATCAGCAAGCTGTTGATCACAAATACAAACTGGAGTGAGAAAATCATCAAATATAGTTTGGGAAAATGTTAGATAATGAATGATGAATTAATAAACTCCAGAAAAATCATGGAAATGGAACTGTAAAAACTTCACTGTATTACCTGTTGAAGAAATTCCAAGAGATCTACATCAGTCAAATTGACTCCTACAATACACGGCACCTGCACATTAAAGTAATTGTGATATTCAATAATGAGACAAAATAAAGATTGCGGATCTCTGAACTATGTCAATAATGTAATACATCTTGAGTAAATATACAACATTGAGGACACTTAAACATGTAAAGCACCTGGTTGGTCAATGTGTATGTCTATGGAAGTAATAACAATAACTTCTCTGGCAATAATATTTTCCTCTATATATGCATGTATATGTACGCAGTTGACAGACTAACTAGTAATACAATCAAGAAAAAAAAAAAAAATTTAAGCTTGTAAAAGAAGTTCAATGGCTGAGAGAGAGAAAGAGAGAGTGGCAGGAATGTTCTTCACCGCATTAAGTGTGACAACAGTTGGCTGCCTGTGTAGAAGATTCAGATTCCTGTAAAAACACAAAAGGGTGTACACCAAAAAAATCTCAGAATTTAAAAGATGAATTGTATAACAAGACAAATGCAATATATCATGCATTCTCTAACACCATCCATTTAGTGGGGAAAAAAAAAATCATCCCAGCAAATCCTTAACGAAAGATATGAAGCAGGAGATCCAAAAGGTTCTCCAAAGTCATCAGCACAAACAAAAATCTGACAGACTTGTTCGCCAACATTGGTATGGGGTTAATATCTTTGAAGGTCATTCACACAATGATTGACACATAGATCAACAGTACTAATTAAAGCTTTTCTAGACACAGAACACAGAAAAATTACTTTTTAAAAGACCTTGAACCCAGAGAACGAATGTTGCAGAGCCAACCCCAATTTTGTATCTGATCAGCATAGTTGTGCAACAACTGATACCCTATTTCAGGCAGGACCTGTTTACAGTTTCGAAAACAATAAAAATCAACAGTGAAGATCTTAAAATTTTCAGATAAATGTTTAACTTGGCACAGCATCTAGGGCTGTAATAGAACCCCGACATATACTGTGAAATGGACATACCAATTTTTGCTCAGTATCCAGGTAAGTGATTGTCTTCATTTCTCCAAATAGCACCTACGAATTTCACTAGTCTATTGAGCCACACTGGATTCGTCATTTTAAAAAGTTTGAACTACAAAAGCATTTTACCTTCTGACGTAGTTCTTCCAAGCGGATCCTTTCATCTGCAGCGTGCTGTAAAAGACAATCACTTGCAAAGTAAAAAATGCAGCCAAATGCTGGAAGCAGACTCCAAAACCCTAAGCCAACAAATATGATTATGTGTGTTGGTATGTACACGAATCAAGCCCACACATGTTTGCATGTAGATGTATATATACTACTAGGCATCTACCGGCTAATGCTGACACGATTTCCCAGTTACAAGATTCTCAAATGAGAAACTGTAAACCATTCCATGTCCTCAATCCACTTCTAAGATTTCCTGTGCTATGTACATCTCAACAATTGGTGACATTGAACATTCTGCCGAGATAAAATAGCCCTCGATTGAGAATCATGAGAAGCAGTACTAAACTATGTTGCACGGACTCGGGTGTAGGTATCAGGTGCGGGTGCGAGTGCAGGCGCAGGTACATCTAGGGGTCGGATACTTCAAAATTAAAAGTTGAAGATACATGAACATGGATCCAAATTTGGATACGAGTACGGGGATACGGTAAATAGTTATTTTTAAAATAATTTATTATATAAAGATGAGTTAAATAGTTATTTTTAAATATATTTATTATTTTTATCTTATATATTATTTTTATTGATAATATTTTTAATTTTTTATATAATTTAATTTTTTTATTTTTAATTGATATATATATATATATATATTATAAATAAAAAAAATATAACAAATAAAGAATAACAAAATATGTTAAAATAAATAAAAAATAAAAATTGGATGATTTATTTATAGATTTTTTTTTAATATATGATTTAATTAGATTTATTATTATATAACAAATTATATTATTTATTATATGTTAAAAACGAGAGGGGGGAGAGATAGAGAACACAAATCAACGAGAGAGAGAGCGAGAGAGAGAGAGAGAGAAGACGAGGAGGAGATGATGAAGAAGAGAAGACAGAGAGAGAGAAGAGGAGATCGACATAGATGAAGACAAAGACAAGACGACACAGAGACACAAATCGACATAGATCTTCACCCTCTTGCTACCACTGCTACACTGTAAGTTTCTCTCGACAACCCTTCTTTCTCCTCTCATGTCAGCCATGTCCAAGAAACCCATGCCGAATCTGACACATATCTTACACCCGCACCCATGTCGTATCGTATCGACACGTGTACTCTGTCCTAAACCAGCGAGTCCATGTAACAAAGGTACTAAATAGTCCACAATTACAACGTCCATAGCATAATGTTTTAACTTGTGAACTAATGTTCTATTTGGCTCACTAGAATGAGATGGAATGGAATGGAATAGAATAATCATTCCTTAGGCTCCCCTATGGAATGATCACTCCGTTACAATGACGAATGATGATTTCATTTGCAATATATTTTTTAGTCAATCAAACATGGGAATGAATATTTTGATGGAATGATAATTCCATTCCATTCCATTCCAGTGAATAGAACGCTACCTAAATATATCATTTGGCATGCAGCATGGTCTACGATCTTTCAAAAATTTAAAAACATGAGATAGATGGATCTCAAGAAGAAAAAAAGAAAGAAAGAAGAGCAGTGCTTAAACCTGGTCAATAATAGCAAGCACTCCACCACCCACAATTGGAATGAATTTCTTATCCACCTGTTGGAGAACTTTGGCATCCTCCAGACAATTCTTATTGCTAGATTCAGGAACTAATGAATCACCAGCCAGATGCAAGATCCCAGAAGAGACATCAAGTATATTACTCTCATTGTGAAGATTATGTAATTTGTCTCCCCTCTGTATAGAAAACAAAATCACTTTGTAACCACTAATTTCATAACTTGACAACCCCAAGTTCTTTTAACAAACTGGTAATCATGATAGAATGTGATTTCAAAAAGAAAAGAAAAAATGCTAAGGTACTCAACTGCAGTCCGTAGACAGCTCTTCTGCCATTTTAGCCCAGAATCTAATGGATCATGAGTTTCCTTCAATGTGCAGTCTGAAGGTTAAGATAGCATAAAATCAGAAGTATATTATTTATATGGGGTAGGATGAAGGTATAAAGTGATAACCAACAAAAGTGATAATCAAATAATGGCAAAGAAAAAAAAAAACAAAGTAAATTTATTCTAGGGTTTTTTACCTTTTTAGTCCCTGAAGTATGCAATTTGTCATTTGGTCACAAATGTTTAAAATTTGTCCCTAATGTATAAAAAAGTGTATCACTTTAGTCCCCCATCCTAACTCTATCTGGAAGTGTTGTTAAAGTCAAGGGTAAACATGGAAACTCAATTAATAAAAATACACTTTTAGTCCAGTTAATTCTATTTGCACACCACTCATTTTCTCAGTGCCCACACCATCTTCTAATTTTTTTATTACAGTTCTGTCCCTCAAACAAATTACTCTTTTGGATAAAAACCTAAACCCTAATTTCTCTATACACACATCTATAGGGCTCGCAAATGTCAGGAGCAACATATATATACATGTTGGATGGCAGGAATATTTCCTTCTAAAGATGTTGGTTCTTTTTTTTGTTTTTAGCTGATATGTAATTATGATTTTAACGCTTTACCCCTAGTTCAGACGGAGAGAGACAAAATTATGTTAGGGGACCAAATTGAAACACCTTTTATAAATTGGGTAGCAAATTAACACAATTTAAACATGGGGGTTCAAAATGACATGGATCATTACTTTGGGAGCTAAAAGTGTATTTTTTTTAATTGAGTTTCTGCATTTACCCCTAAATTTAATGAAGTCTACAGACAAAGTTAAGTTGGGGGACCAAAATGAAACACTTTTTATACATTGAGGGCTTAGGCCTTGCTTGGGGAGTAACTATTTTGGTCAAAAAGTCACTATAAGTAGTCATATCACTCCCTCTACTTTTCTGCACATCTTTTCGTAAAAAGCCAAAAAGTTACTAAAATAGCTTGTTCCCAAACTAGGCCTTAATTGACACAATTTAAAATTTGGGGATCACAATGACACATCACATTTTTTGGGGACTAAAAAGGTAACTAATCCTTTATTCTATAATACATTATTCATCAATGCTTCCATATTGTGGGAGAATAGGCAAAATAATATTAACCGTTCTATCTACAATCCTACATAACGCTACATAATCTTAACAGATGGAAATCTACCTAAAAAAATCTGGCACTCACCCATAGATCAATGGGAAGCATAACTTTTGCCTACACATAACAACAGAATTATTTTCAACCGAATCCATGCCGTAAATGTGGAGGCGCTGACTTTTTGCATTTTAAATTTTTGAATGTCAGTTATGTCTTACGATGCTACATAATACTAACATAATCATAATAGATGGACACCTGCCTAAAAAACATGGTAGCTTCTCCAATAGATCAATGGGAAACGTAACTTTTGCCAACACATAACAACGACATTACCTTCAACCAAATCCTTACTATAAATGTTAAGTTCCTCTGATTTTTGCGTATCACATTTTTTAATGTCCTTCATGTCATGTGCTTTCTTCTTATCTGGTCTGAAAGCAAAACCTCAGTGAAGTTAGCAACTATCAGATTTGATCTAGCATTTTAAGCTTGACATGGAAATACTAAAAGTAATTATACCTGGTGTAGATCAATGGATCTTCCACAGAATTTGGCTCAGAATATAGTTGACATTCACCAGATGATTGTTGAGGATGCTTCCACCCACTCGTTTCTGCACAATACACATAAATCTTAACTGGTCTAGCTTATTTGCACCACCACCAAGTCCTACAAACAGTTTGTATTAAAGCAAAACCTTGTGAAGTAGGGGCAGTATTGATGGCCTGGGCTTTGAGTTTTTTTGCTTCCATGGCCAAATGGGTATTTAAGGTGAAGAATTTTTTCTTGCCTCTGTAAAAAGGTGGAGCTGAATGGCTTCTTTTTGGCCTTCTCTTACAAACATATCCTTTTTGTTGATATATAATCGGATCCTTTAGGCCTTCATCCACAACATCATAAATTGCTGAAGAAATATGGTGTGACGTTACTGCAGAACAGTTGGCATTATATTTACCATGCAAGTCTAAACATAACCACTCTGTTTCATCAATAAATATATCGGGACATTTTGAAAAGAGAACATCTAGATTATGTTGTTGGATAAATCTACAATTATCTTCCTTGGAACGAACACAACTTTCAAAACCTGAGCACATGTTTGCAAAACTTGTTGAGAAGTCTTCTTGGCTTGAGCTTTTTCGCAAAGAATCATCAAAATAAAAACCACCATCCTTAACAACCCTTTCTGCTAAATAGTCATATCTAGAACTATTGTCATATTTGATACACCTCTCAAGTGCATTCTCATCAAAGAAATTATCCACATTCTGAGATTTGGTCCTAAATAATGGATCTGACATTACAGAAGACCATTCAGAGTTAAGAGACTGACGACTTGAGAAAAATTTTCCAACACGTGCAATTGAGTCTGGTGGAAGGTCATTCTCTCCAGCTAAACACTCTCCACCTATTGCAGAAGACTCTATTGAATCCCTTGACAAAAAATCCAGACCTGTAAGCACGTCACACTTAGACATGGGTCCGGGGGAAGACCAAGCACTTGCTGCCTCATCCTGCCATAGAGTCCCTGGAAGGAAATCAAACCTCTGGTTATTGTCATCAATTTCTCCAACACAAACCCAATCATTAGGTTCAAGACTCTTTCTTTTGGCTCCAAAACCATTAATCCGAAAGTCAAATCCTTCAGAGCTTGCAGGTGATGCCCCATCAACTGGAAGGCTTCTCCTACAGGAGCAATTATGCAGAAAGGGCTTTAGATCCTCGCTGATCTTGTCCACATCATCACCTATTTCAAAACAATCAGGAGATAATGCACTCCCATTAAATCCATTACTTATGCTGGCATCCACATTGAAATGTGCATCCTCCAATCTAGAACCGCAAATATAGTCTGTGTGCTCACTGGATCTTTTTTCCCCAAAGAACTTATTCCCCAAGAAATGGTCTTCAGAAGAGAAAATATTATGGTCAGTTGCCTGCAGATAGCTAGCACTCTTTTGGTTTACAGTTACTCTGGATGGGGCAAGCCATCCATCACACGACTGGAATGAGTAGTCAGTTTGATACAAAGATCCCAACCTCATCTGGTGTTCTGAAGCATCTTGACAAGAAAATCTATTGTCTTTCCAGCGAAACATATGGTCACTTTCTTCAGTTGGCATCTCCAGCTGGGGGGAGGGAAGGCCAAAAGAAGCATGGTGATTGTACATCCTGCACCTCCTTTTTGCAATTTCATATTTTTCTGGCAAATCTACCAATGTTTGGCAACAAAAGAAATCTTAGGATACACATGAAGGAAATCGATTGGGTAAATTACACCTTTGCTCCTTGTTTGAGCCAAATTTCAGTTTAGTCCCTATAGCTTCAATCTCATCAATTTAAACCTCATACTTTCAATTCCGTACCAATGTGGTCAGCTGTCATTAACATTTTGGATGGAAAACATGTGCGAAACTAGAGGGACAACAGTAGAATTCAAAAGAAACTATAGGGACCACAGGTGTAATCTATTCATTTTTCTTTTTGTGCAGGAATTGCTAAAATTTCCACATGTTGCCTTTTTCCGTCTAAAATGCTAACCACAATGGACAAAGGAACCACATTGAAACGTAATCGAAAGTGTGAGGTTTAAATTGATGAAATTGAAACTACAGGGACCAAAGTGAAAACTTCACTGGACCTAGAGGACCAACAGTATAATTTACCCAAACAGATTTTTTGCCAGTTCACAAGCAAGCTATATAAACATCATTCATGAAATTCTATTACTCTGGAAATGTGTTCTCTCTTCTCCAAATAGTTTTGAGGAATGTAACTATTGAAACAACTAGATCAGGGTATTCAAACTCTATATAGAGAATTATCAGAAGCAAGACATTTAATAATAAAATATAGATCCTACCTTTTTCTGGTGATGAAACATCACCACCTTCCCTCCAGGAATTGTCTTCTCCTGACATAACAATACCACGGCTGGAGGAAATTCCTTGAAACATATCAAAAGTCAAGACAAGTTTAAGAAATGAATTAACAAAAATAATGTTAACAGACAACAAAAAGATTATTCACAAATTTAGCAGTGTACCGTGAGAAAATTTTTTAGTCCACAAGTGTGTGATGGCCTTTTCAATAAAATTAATAATGGGAGACCAATCCTGAGAGAGAGGATCAAGGGAACAATTGGATTCCTAAATTATTTCACAACAGAGTGATAACCAAACAAATTAAATCAGTAAGACTAAAGCCCTGAAGGAAATACTAGCACACTGTAAGTGAGAAGAATGAGGTAGACAAGCCATCTACAGCATTTAGGCAAATGAATCACACACATGGAGGAATAAACAACACCCATCATCCAAAATTAACAGAAGGAAGGAAAATATATGTATATATACTGCCATATCATGTGTAATGCACAAATGAAAATTTTTCAACAGAAGCATCAATTCCCAAGCAATCCCTGTTTCAATGGAAGCATGCGATCAACAGTGATCGATGTGAAATTGATCCCTCACTTTGAAAGCAATCGATCCCTTGTTAGTTGTGATCGATTACCACCCCAGTTTTCACAAATCCTTCGTAAATTGGCTTTGGAAGCTGAGTTTCTATATAAACACCTCTATAACTTGGTTTTCTATATCCCAACCATTGTTTTTTCAGAGTCAAAATTCTGTAAACTCTAGAAAAATTCTGAGCATATATTTTGATCATTGTGAGAGAATTTTCTTGAGATAGTTTTCCAAAAACCTTATATATCTTTGCATTGTTGTGTTCTGCACACAAGGTTGATTGGGTAATTGGATCCGTTCAAGAATAGCGATCGAGGCTGTTGCTTCGTAGTGTCCAGAAGATCAAAAAGGTTGACTGAGTCAAGCTATGCTCGTGGAGTAACTACAAGTCATCAAAGTTGTAGATAAACCTAGGTATACGGTTGTAAGTTTTCTCGACTGTGTCCTGTATTCTATCATCGTTTGGTGGATTTTTGTTGGGTGTTGTGGCCATGGTTTTTCCCTTTTGGGCTTTCCACATAAAATCTGTGTTATCGTGTGATTGCTATTTACTGTGGTAAATTTTGATTAAAAGGCTAAAATAGGGCTAATAAACATAATTCAAACCACCCCCCCCAAAACCCTTTTTCCGTTTCTAGGCACATTTTACTGAAGTCTCCAATATTTCAACTTTTTGAGAAATGACAAAAATCACTTTTCCACTCAAAACAATCTAATTGACAAAGGGCAAACAAACTTCATAAGCCAGGAAAATTCTCAATCAATTAGCTAATTATATATATCACAGTTCATGATCAAACAAGAAGAAATGTTACCTTGAATTCAACAGAAGTCTTTGATGGTTCAAAAGTTATATCATAGCTAATATATATCACAGTTCACGACCAAACAAGAAGAAATGTTACCTTGAATTCAACAGAAGTCTTTGATGGTTCAAAAGTTATATCATACCAAGATCTTGGGCAACTTAAATTCAAAATGTATGTTTCATATGTTTGAGACCTACTTCGCTTCCCATTTTGTAACTTCATGTTAGCCTCCTGCAGATCTGAAGAGTTGAACCTAGTGACCAACTCATTCAGCAGTTTATGAATTGGGCCCTTGCAGATATAAAGAGAGTTGATGTCTACATAAGTGAAGGTCAAGAAAATCAAAATTCTCAATTATCTCAATTGCCGATCTTTTTGTTTTATCAGTATCTTAATTGCTAATCTATCTAGTGCAATATAACCTTTGCACACTAACAAGATAATCAACTTCACGGATACAGACAAATTGACAGGCCTGCAAGAAAAAGGACCCTCAATTAGCACTATTGACAGTGGGGAATCAGTAAAGCATATCCAAACAGTTAAATAGTTATATCATCAAATGAAGTATACCTTCACAAATGAAGTATCACGAGGACTAGACATATATCCAGAAAGCTTTAATACACCATCAGAGACATTTAATTCATGTAGAGACCTGAAAATTTCAATTCCAAAACCACTCATCAACAGTGACAAAGGAGATGAGGAAGGAGTCGTGCAGAACAACTCATCCTCACTGCATGCAGGTAAAACAAAATGTAAGCAAACACATATATGAACCTCCAAGTGCTATATTGACAAATGTAGAGCAGGAACACCTCTCAATATCAACAACTTCGAAGAATACTTTTGGATGAACAATGGCAATTCTAAGAACAAATTTTTTGACTGAGTGCAAGACCTTCTTCGGGCTTCCAATTTCATTATGCAAATCACAACCAAATCAAGTTAATGCACATCATCACGAGTAAAATGATCATATCAGCTAATGTAGTTGGCTATCGTTAATAAATTTAAACCCAAAGCAAAATATGTGCAAAGTAAGAGGAACCTAGATTGGATATGCTTCCTCCGAACTGGTTGGTTGTAAAATAAATCCCGAACAATGACTGCAAGGACCCAAGACTATTCTTAGAAAACAAACCAAAGCTTATCTGCATCATAATCAACAGGAAAAAGGAAAAGCAAATTTATTCACCATATAGAGCAGTTACAAGCCTACAATTCACATACACTCTAGCATTCCCAAAAGCAAATATCATTTGAAAGAAAGATATAAGAAAACAGGGACAAATACTCAGAGTAGTTCATACAAGAAGCACAAAGTGACCCAACTTTACAATTTTAATGGACAAATCCACAGTACTTTGGTAACTCTTGCCCATTGATTTGATTTTTGTGTTGTTTGACTTCCTCAAAATAAGCTACAAAAATGGATTCACGCTGCAAACATTGATGCTTTGATGATCAGTTTAAACAAACTTGTAAGGCATTGACACAAAGTGTGTTTATAAATTCCATCTCTCCTTTTCACTAGACAATCTACCAAAGTAACCTTTTGTAAAGGACAATTTCCCAATGTAATGTGGAGAGAACAATGTTATGGCAGATTAAAACAAAAATAGTTATTTATATAAAATTTGGAAACAATAATGTGATGAAAAGCAGTCATGCTACACTAGAAAGACGCTAATTAGATGTTATTAAGAGGAGGCTTCTAAGTGGAATTTCTGGAAGGCTGATCCAATCCTGAATTTGTTCATTTTCAACCCTGAGCTAATTAAGCCAGAAACTCCCTGTTCCAAACAATTCAAAACAAAGAAAAGGAACGGTGATTAAAAGCGCCTTATCATTTTGTTTTCAGGTGAAGTTCCAGTGTTGTTCTTGTAGTGCTAAAGAAGCAATCTTTACTTGTGCACACATAAGGCCAGCTCCAATCTATTTGCTTACCTTCTACCAAACAGACTAATGCTCTCCACCATAATATACTTGTGCAGGTTCTTGTTACTTACAAATCCAATTTTTGTTTTATTTAAACTTGTTATCAAACATTTAATAGTGTTGACAAGAGAAGAAAACAACAGGCAAAAAAAGCACAAACAGATCTTCCAAGTGGGAGAAATATTAATGACTTGCTTGCTAATAGTGACTACACAACAATTTTTACCTGTTGTGCCTACATCTTGCCTACCATCATCAATTCCAAGATACAAACATTTGCATCCCTGAAAAGAACGATGGGAAGTCAACCACCAGGATACTTGGAAAAATGGCAGTAAAGACGCTCAAAATTGACAAATGGAAAATTAAATTCGAAACATTGAAGAACAATCCATGCCTTCATGACTTTACGATATCCATTTGGCCTCCCATGAGCTTTTGTAATGACTTCTAACAATGAAACATCAGAAATGGAGCTCAATGCTTCTCCTCGATAGCCAAAGCTTCCACTAATAGCATTAGTATTAGCTAGCTGATCAACTTTTGACGTTGCTGGTCTCATAGTAAACACACAAATCATTAGATAACATGGTCAATAAATAAATTGTATTTGTAGTTATCCCCACATGATAGCAATGGTTAAACAGTCCAACTAAGCACCTACATTCCAAAAACTAAGAAGTAGGCTATCAGTCATCAATACTTTCAAAAGTAAAATAATGCCACACTTTCCAATGTATAAGATTTCCCTGTGCTTATTCAATGTTCTATAATAGCATATTCAACAGAAGAAATGCTATGGGTCGTGCAATAGATATACTCTTTCTTTTCACCAACACATGGGATTGACCAGTTTTCTTAAAAGAAGAGAGAATTTTATTCCAACTGGCATTCATATACGAGACAGCCATATATAGGCAGCTAAGAAGCACAGATACTCCAAGATTGGTGCTGTGTTCATATGTGCCACGACGGGGATGTGTGTCCTTGTGTCCGACGCACCACGTGGCATGTCAATTTTTTTTTTATTATTTTTTTTGTAGGGCATGTGGGGATTCTTCATGAACGCACGTGTCCTATGTTTGGACATGTCTCAAGACACCTTTGTAGATTTATTTATTTTTTTATAATTTTAGAAAGATGATTTGGGGTCAAAGTAAAATACATGGAAAATAAAAATATAAAAAAATAAAAATACACCCAAATATATATCGATGCTTCTCATATCTATACATTCTAAATTTATATTCATATATATAATAAATAAATAAACAAAAAATTGCCATATCCCCTCCATGCCCATATCCAACAAGCAAACACACACACACACACACACAACCACAAAAAAAAACACTCGTTGGCTTGTTAGTTGATTTTCACACGCATTCCATCTAGAAAAAATAAATAAACAAGGACAACAAAAAAGTATGTGAAACTCAAAATTTAAGGTAAGTGTCCCTATTGGAATGAGCACTATTAGGTGTTCCATGATGATTTAAAACAGGTTTTTGCTAAAAATCCCAATTCATATTGAGAATTTTTACATCTGAAATTGCGAGATTGATTCCTCTAAGATTTATGACATGTCCTACGATCAACAAAGTATAAATTCTTATCCCTCACTATTATTTCCTATGTTACATGGACTATTCTAAATGTGCAAAATACCAATGCCGGAAACTCAACACATGGGTAAGGGTATGGAACAAAGGTCTGACATGTATAGTTGGGCATGCATCCAACAAGCTTGTATGGATCTACTTGTTTGCATCTTGTCAAGAATCACAGCAGCCAAAATGAAAGTTTTTCAGAAGAAGAAAGATATTCAGTTACCGTATCTTTCTCCCAACAATACCAACCCATCCCGAGTAATACCACATCCTACAAGTAAACAGACATAAAATGCAAAAAATAAACTAGTGAGCTTAGGGTGCAATGTGAGTTAACTATTGAGGAGGGGCAAAATACAACTAACCATTGTCCACTACTTTAATGTAGTGGGTCCCAACACCAACTGCGACAGATACCTGAAAGAACAAATCAGTCCTCAGTGAAAAAAATAAAAAAAGTAAACCAAATGTAAAAAAACATGCATAGAACAACTATATAATGGTAAAACTTACGTAGTGGTTTAGCAACGGTCTAATTTCAACTAAAGGGATACACAATTCTTGTTAGGGGTGTGCATGGGTCGATTTGATCCGAGTTAGTGCCAAATCCAAAACTGAACCAACCTAATCAATTATCATTTTCAGGACCCAAAACCAAACCGAAAACCTTTGTTATCAAAATATGACCATTCACAATTCAATTCATGTGATTCTTGAAACTATCAGGCCCAACAAATGGCAACCTCATTTTCCTCTTTCTTTTTCTTTTTCTTTTTTTTGTAAATATGTCATAATACAACTTCTCAAAGTGTTTAGTACAAAAATAATCAATATCTAATTATGATTTGTTGTCATTTTAGTGATCACAGGGTTTAATAGGATCCAATATGAAAAATGTCAAAATACAACTAGATGATTAAGGCTAAAGTAACTTGCACCCATGAATTATCTATTGCTAATTTGGTAAAATAAACACGGTTTAATATGGTATGAGACAAGCCAATTGGACACAACGATTCCACAACTTTTCTTTTAAAACTTTTTTTTAACAATAAGTGTAAACAATTTTAAAATGTTTTAGGTTTTAAAATAAAGGGTTTCAACTTATTTTTTCTTCTTATTCTATGCTATTTAGGGTTTTTAGGTCCATTTTTGAATATCAAAGGATAATATATTATGATTTTTAAATACTTATATGGTTGATGGGATTTGTACTTATATCGCTTACAATTAGACAATGTAATCACGTCTTTATATAAGAACTATTGTATAACATATACCAAAATTTATTTTATGTTTGGATAATGGTCAAAAAACAGGGTGCCCCTCCAAGTTTAATTTGTGACACAACCCTCCTAGGTTCAATACCATATTGAAAAAATGAATGGTTGATAGAATAGTTAAAAAGACAAAAATAACCGTCTTATTTCTTCTCTTTTGCTTATATCCTCTCTTTATCTTTCTTTGTCTCATCTCACCACCATCACCATCCATTGGCACCACTAACACCCTCCACCACCACCAAAATCACAATTACCATCCACCACTACCAATCACCTCCACCCAAAACCACTATTACCACTCATCACCACCACCCAAAATCACCACAACCACATAGGCTACCTCATTCTCCCTTCCCCATTCTCCCTCCTCCACCTTACCTTATCCTTTGATTCTTCTTACAACGACTTCATCATCTATCATTCTAGCATCAAAGGTGTCCCATCGTCATCTACCAGTGAACCTTTGACATTGCCGCAAACAACATTGACAGCAGCTCTATACCCTAGCCAACTCAGTTTGTAGTTTACACCCATCACCACCACCACCACCACCACCACATCGCTTGACCTCTTCCCTTTCCACCCACCCCCAATCTCCCTGCTCCCCACCAAAATAAGTTGGTTGCCCCTTCCCCTTTTCCCCAACCTTTGATCTACCTCCTTCCTATTCCCAACCAATCAATTGCCTCCTTTCCCAACTTCTCCACCTATTCTCCCTCCTTACAACCCCAACCAGTTGGCTTCCCCCACACCCACCACCATCCTCCCTCATCCCACCATAAACCAATTATTGCCCCTTCCTCCACCATTGTCCTCCTTCCTCCCATGACAACATAGTCAACTATCCTCTCCCCCACCATCATCATCCTTCTGCACTAGGGCCAATCAGCTAGCCATGTCCCCTACCACCCTCCTCCCTAGGCCAACCTAATCCATTGCATGCTTCATCTCTATCCACCACCTTCTTTCCTCATCCTACCATAAACCAATTATTGCCCCCTTACTCCCTCCTACACCTTAAGCTAGTCGTTAACCCCTTCCCCTCCCCCCCACCCCAAGCCAATCATTGCCCTATTCCCCCCAACCATGTTCTCCCTCCTCACCCCTAGCCAATATGCAGCTTTGAACCCTTCAGAATGGCAGAATTGAAGCTTAAAGAATGGCATGTTTAAGGTTAAACAAAAGAATAATTGGGGGAAAGAAGGCATAAATATCATTTCAAAATTTGAATAATTCAATTTAAAATTAAAACAATATTTGACGCGTCACGCCTTGGTACTGTTAATTTATTTAGATGGAAATAGTCATTTTTTTCAATTTGGTATTGACCTAGGGGGAATTAATATCACAAATTAAAACTTCAAGGGGCACTATGTTTTTTGGCATAACCACAAGAGAGTGAAAAGTAATTACCCCTTTTTTCATCTATACAATTGTTTAATTAAACCAAACAACAAATGGATGTCAAAAAACAAATGGAACTTAATTAAACCAACAAATGGAACTTAATTAAACCAAACCAAGAAACCTTGGTGTCGTTTAGCGTAACCCACAATTCAAGCTATAAGTAAATATTTTATAAGGCTTGATAGATGTCCATTGTAGTTTGTAAATTCTATTTTTACAATAATTCTCTTATATATGATGATAACATTTTTTTACTAATAACTTGAAAATATCACATGTACATTTGTATGTCATACAAGTCTTTTAACAAAATACATACAGGGGCGGATCTTGGTTTTGTTCAGGCTACTCAAGGAATGAACCCAGAACCAAGCCGAGCCTCTCCCATGATCAAACGAACCCAACACAACCCCATGGTTGGAACCAGACATTGGGTTGGTTAGGTTCACAGGTCACATGATTCTTTTATATAGCCTACATCCTTTGATTACATCAGTTGTCCTTATTTATAACAGTATAAAACCAGACGCTTTGAAAAAAGAAATTCTATTGAAAGGGTTTGAAAGTGAATACTTCAATAGACATTAAAGCAACACATGGCATCAAAAGTACTAAAAAGTACGAAGTAGAAATTATTTCGGTTTCACATTGATCCATGTTCCAAAGAGGTACCCCACTCCTATCTTTCCTTAATAAGTATAACTCTCCTGAATTCAACCTATTAGCTCTAAGGATGGGCAATCCTAGCACGGGGTAAAAATCAACTTGATCACTACACAGGTTAACATAAACTGCTTATTCTAGGCATATTTTGTCATCAAAGAGTCTACCAATTGTCCAGGTAGGTGTTGAATATTTTGCCATTAATAAAATATACGTCCACCGCAGAAATCTTATTCCTCTAAAAGGGATAAAAGATCAAGACGTTTGAGTTATCAAACAAAATTGTAGCTAAATCATGATTTACATATGCACACAGATATAATCTATCTTCTTCTGCTATCTATATCTATCTATCTATCTTCTATGTCTATCTACCTACATCTATCTATACTATGCGTGAGTTGGTATTGATGTCTCATTTTTTGGGTTTTCCCAAAATATCCCTACAGCAGTTACGTGGCCATTTATACCCTAAATTCAGTTTTTTTTTTTGGAACTTCTGATTTTTCCAAATTCATTTCAGTTTTCAGATTTTAAATTCATACATTTTACAATCTTATTTTTCTGAAATAAAACGATCATATGCTCATGCACCACGATTTCTAATATATATATATATAAATACATTTCAAAATTTTACCTTGGTTGCACGAGCATCAAGACTGTTGAAAATCAGCTCTTCCACGACTCTGGTCAAGTTGAACAAGACAATGCCAGAACGAACCGAGCTGCGAACAGCCTCAGGCAAATGCTTGATGTCCCTCATACTGACCCCAAATCATAATAATTCTTCAATCATTTCATATCTGAACTACAAAACCCATAATTCATACATTTACAGGCAAACCCCACAAACAAAAACTACCTGCAATTACAGACCCAAAACGAAAATTTGAAAATCGTAATAGCTAGTTGCTAACCTGAAGACGACGATAATTTTCGCCTAGCTTTAGGGTTTTGATCGATCTTCGAAGACAAAAACAAAACAGAGAGGAATGAGAGGTTCGATTTTGGTGGGTGTGGATTTCGAAACCTTAAGGAAAAAAGGCGGTTTAGAGCTCGCGGGATTGTGTGCGCCGGACTGTTCTAAGTTGCGCCTACAGTGTAGTGTAACTTGCGGGAAAACATGTGTTTGATTGGACGGATTGGAAAAGGGGATTAGAATCCATCGAACTTGAATCCTGGAACTGTGAATCCTCTGGACTATTTGGTCGAATTGAATATGTATCCTGTGTTTATTTTTTCATAGGATTAGATGTATGAATAGGACTATTTTGAGGGAATCCAACGTTTGGTTGGACGGATTGGATAAGATAAATGAACAAAAGACTATTTTATCATTTTTTAATTGTTTACTAAGTAATAGCAATATTAAACATATCTTTAATATTTTAATTATTTTTAGTAAACATTAAACATACTAATGGTTAAATTTTGTTTAAAGATATTTAAACATACTAATATTGATAAAAAAAATTTGACTGGTACAGATTATTTTTATTTAAACAAATAAAAATTTATTGTTGAAATTAAACATACTAATGGTTAAATGTTTAAATTTTTATTTAAACAATTAACATTGAAATTATTTTGATGTACAGATTATGTTTAAACAATTAACAAATGTTGATGTAATTAACAATTAACAAATGTAGATGTAATCAAATGTTGACGTATTAAAACATAATTTAATAGATGTTAAATAAATATACATGTTGATGTACAGATGTTGAAATAATTTAATAAACATGTTGATGTACAAATGTTTAAATAAAACATAATTTAAATAAATAAAATTATTTATTTTTGATCAGCCCCCAGTGTCCCTCAAAATGGATGAAATAGGATGTATGCCAAAAATCAGAGCAATAGGAGATGGTTAAGCGGTCCCGAACCGAGGCACACGGCCTGACGGCTCCGAAAACCGGGAACCGGACTCCGAAATGGGCAAAATGGCCTACGGCCACCAAATGTAGCCTACGGACATTGAGAGATGGTCTACGAGACCTCTCCCTCCCTTCAGGAAAAGAAACAGAGAAAACCGAGTCTGGTTCGCAAACCGAGACAAGGCACAGAAAAGGGTTCGGGAGTCCGGAGGCAGGGCTTACGGCCGGGACTCTGAAACTTCTGAACAAGCACATTATGCAACATCACCAAGCGCTCAATCGGTGACGTCTGAGTCTTAAGGTCGGTCAAAAATGGGGTGTCTACAGACGGATAAGGAGGGAGGCTGGACATGGAGTCCAAATAGTGGATAGTCCCCCCCCCTTATCCCCCCAATCAAACACACCCTAAAGACACTCGCGGGGTACTGTTTGTTTGGGTGACCGATGATTACGTCACCGAGTTAAAAGTTGAAGTCACACATGGATTCTGATTGGTCAGCAAGTACCAACTCTGGTTGGTAACTCAAAAAATGGGTTGCTCGAATGTCCCGAGTCCAAAACGATGTTATTGTGATTTTTTATTTTTTATTTTTTTCACTTTTCTTTTCTATTTTACTGAAGATGAAGAAGATGAAGGCGAAGAAAAAAGCAACAGCAGAGAAGAAGAATAAGAATAAAAAGACGTGACAAGAAAGAGAGAGAATTAACACATCATCATCTTCAACAAACATCAATACAGAGAGAGAGAATTAACATCTTCATCAACATTATCATCATCATCAACAACAACATCTTCATCAACACATCATCATCATTAACAATAAGATCCAGATCCAGATCCAGATCCAGATCTACTAGAAAGGGGAAAAAAGAAAAAGGAAAAAGAAAGTAAAGAAAATAGAGGAGGCGATTGGCGATACCCACCGGCATCACCGTGGATCTTCCTTCTCTTCCTCCTCCGCCATCACCGCCATCGCCTCTTTTCTTCTCTCTCGTCTCTCGCCTCTTCTCTTCTCTTCTCTTTTCTTCCCTTTGTCTGTTTGTATTTGAAACCATGAAAAAGAAAAGAAAAAAAAAATAAAAATACAAAACGATATCGTTTTGTATATTCAAGCCAATTTCGAACCACCGTTTTCGAGCAACGAAGTATTATTCAGCAAGTACGTTACATACACTTCTGTTGCTGTTTTGTGATTGGCGAAAGCAAAATATGATCGCCTCTTCTCTTCTCTTCTCTTTTCTTCCCTCCGTCTGTTTGTATTTGAAACCATGAAAAAGAAAAGAAAAAAAAATAAAAATACAAAACGATATCGATATCGTTTTGTATATTCAAGCCAATTTTGAACCACCGTTTTCGAGCAACGAAGTATTATTCAACAAGTACGTTACATACACTTCTGTTGCTGTTTTGTGATTGGCGAAAGCAAAATATGATTTTTATTACACTTTAGACTTCGTTTGACAACTTAATATTTTAATTTAAAAATTTAAAAGTCACTCAAAAAATTAAAAAATTAAAAAATCAACAATATATATCAAAAAGTTAATGATTCTTTTTCTCTCTACAAAAAGTCATTCCGAACATACTAATTTTACACCTCATATTTTAGCTAAAAAAATAAAAAAGTTACTAAAATAACCTATTCCCAAATAAGGCCTTATTATATTACCAAAATTAACCCTAAAGTAAGACTCTTCAAAACTCTTTCATCTCTTTACACTAATAGTTTTTTAAGGGAAAATAAGAGAACAAAGAAAGACGCAACAAAGGGAAAAAGAGAGATGCAGGGAAGATACTGAGTGGAGCCCACAATGAAGTGCATGTTCGGTCACACAGTGCTAAACAATTTACATTCCTTAGGTGTTATGTTGCCGGAAAAAATAGATTTCTCCAACGTTTTGTTGCTATATATTTACAGAGCCATTTTTTTTTCTCCAAAAAATGATTTTTAATTTGTGTCAGGCCCGTTTGCTAATACAATACTAATAAATTTGAATTAATCCAATGTCATGTTACCAAACAAACTTTTTTTCCCAGCAATATGTTGCCGTTCGATTGGATGATAACAATAAATTAATTCGAGATCACTTGTGAAGTGTCTGTTCGGTGATATATTGCTATATAAATTAGATTACTTTAGTATCATGTTGTTAAATTGTAATAGATTTGTCTAGCCACTTATCGCTGTATGTTGAAATATTTACTTTTTCCCTCAAGCATATAAAAAAAATCCATAAATCAAATACGCATCCATAAAACCATATATAAAAAGTATCCATAAAAATATTCATAAAAATATCAAGTGTACAAATATTTATAAAATCTGTCATTGTTTGCATCTATCAACTAAACATGTTATCACAATTCGTCTATATCGATGGTTTCGGTAGTTACTACATTAGGATCAACAAGCGTACATAATTGATGAATAGGCTTTTTGGGCTAAAATAGCCACAGAAGACAAAATAGGCTATTTTAGTTACAACAAACAAAATATCACATCCAACCCATAATCATTACACTATTCTCTTACAAAAAAAGTCAAAAAGTCAAAAAGTCTTTCTTAAACTAAGCTTTTTAGCCCAGGTTAAAATAGCCAAAAAAGCCAAAAAATCAAAAAGCCAACCCATTTCCCAAATGAAGCCTTTTCTCCCATTCACTAGCATATGGGTGATGAAAACAAATCCAATTGTTTGACATCTAATGTCTTTATAACAATGTCAAATCTAGTATTATTCCCAACGTCAGAAACCCATTTAATTAATACTTGACTTTTACTAAAAATAATAAATACATTTATATGCCAAATTATTAATAAAACTCAATACAAATTAAAAATAAGAAAAAAATCGTGTTCATAAAAAAACTTAACAAATTTTGTTTGTAATGAATTCATGACTGGAGTCCACTAAAAATACAGTACTTACATTGCTACAATGAGTATAAGCATAATCATAATCCTTTCAATCAAAAAAATAAATAATATAAAAATTAAAACTAGAAATACATGGTAATAAGTAGCTGGACAAATTAAAAACATTCGGCCTTGGATTACCGGAAATGTGTCTTTTATTCGGCAATTGGTTACCCGACATATATTTTTTGTTCGGCAATGTAATGTTGGACTATTTTATTTTGTTCGATTTCGAAATACCGAACAAAAGTCGAAGAACAGTCCAGAAAAATGAAACAAAAACCTACCAAATAAATAATAATAAAAAAACTCAATATTTCACTTTTTTCATGGTTCTTCACCACTGCTTCTTCATTCATTGCTTTCTTTTATGATCAAAACACTATGATTCTCACTTTTTGAAAATAGATGTGTAAGAAAGAAGAAAAAACAAGAAAAGAAGAAGAGGAGTAGGCATTGAAGATTAAGAGGTGTAAAGAGATAATAAAATATATTTAATTTTAGTATTTTGTCCTTAAATGTAATTTCACACATAGGTAAAATTGGAGGGGGGGAAAATCTTATATGGAGGGTGTGAAGAGGTAAAGTAGTGGTATAAGTAGAATCACTTGAAAAAAATTGAAATGGAATGTGCAATTACGAAATTATCCTAAGGTTAGGTTTGTTTGACTATTTGAGAAAGATGATTGAATTAATAGTCTGTGAGATTTACTTAAAGAGTGTTTTGTTGAGAACATGAGTGAGATGATTAACTATTCCCTTGTACTAATAACCCCCCATGTAGTACGACTAACAAAGCCATGGAAGGCTTGAGATTATAAATTGAGTGAGGGGAAAAATATTAAAACTTAAAAAAATATTAATTTTATATATTAATATTATATATAGTATTACTAATCTGGTAGTGTACAAATAAACACTTTTTATCCTATATCTCTAACCTAATACCACCATATTAATAATTTTCTCAGTTAATTCCACCATATTTTTAATCTCCTCCATCCTATAAAACCAAACCAACGTGACCTAAGTTGTTAAGATTGCTTAAAATTTACTGAATTTTCTTTTCCAAATTTTAATTACCCAAATAACAACCAAAAAAAAAAAAAATTAAGACTCCTAAAATGTTTCTCCAAATTTACCATGTAAGTCCCAAATTCTCTTATCATGGAGGCTGTTTGGTGTAACTTAAATCAGTTGCTTATAATTTATTTTAGGATAAATTACAGTAAATCTTATTAAATTATGGGGGTATATGGTATAGCTGGGATAAATTACAGTAAATCTTATTAAATTA